GGTGTTCCTAATAATCCTTTAGGTGAGTGTACATGAAATATGTTTATGAGGATAACACAAGAAATTAAGATTATTTAGAGAAAACATACAGACGTAACATATCTAGATATTCATACTGACAAATTTTAAACACTTAAACAAGACATAAAACAGACAAATACTAAAACAGATTCTTCTCTCTTTGAGGTATCGTGTGTGCATGGGTGTGTGTGTGTGTGTGTGTGTACATAGTTGATTGTCGTCGACTGTTTACCTGTTCTGCTCATGGGATGTTTTCATCATAACGTTAATTTTGAGAAGGTACTGTAGCGCCCGGCAGACCGAGGTATCGTGAGAGCAAAGACAAGGAGACTTGCTTGCTGGGGAAAATGCAGCCCTTAAAAAAACTATAACAGGTACCAACAGGTCTGGTGACAGGTCTGAACTGTATTATCTTTTCCTTAGAATAAAAGAAGCATTCACCCAGATCAAAGATCCTGAGCCAGACCAGGTAGGTGCCCAAGACACATCTCCCCTTCTGGCTGCTGTCCTGGGACCTGTTTCTCTACATCAGTCTGACCATCTTCCCTCAGATTATTATACATAATTGTGTCTGTAGCAAATCTGTGGTCCTTGTGCTCTTCCTCCTTCCCTGTAAGTATGGAGTCTGAGGTAGAGGAAGAGCCCTTATTATGACTCCAGCACACAGGAACATGTCAGTACATTCTCCCCTGCTGATGAGATTGTTGTTCTGTAACCCCACCCCACCCCCACCATTGGGCCCTTCGCATGACCCTATGAAGCCCGAGCTGATCCAAGAACGGCTGTTGCTCCTGCGACACACTGACGAGTGCCAGTGGGAGAAGCAGGCCTACCGGGCATTGTGGCGGTGCACCAGACCCCACTGCCACACCATGAGGAAGGTCCTGAAGCACATGACCCACTGCCAGGCCGGCACATCCTGTCAGGGTGAGTACAGGACCGTACTTCTGTTTCCACTCTTCTGGATGGATTCAGGCTGGAGGAGGATTAATGTACCTTTGGTCTCACATTCACCTTTGCTCCAGTGCCTGGTCTGTTTGTTTCATCTAACAGTCTGAGCCCCTGTTTGTGCCCCTGCAGTGAAGCACTGCGCTTCCACCTGCCGGATCATCTCACACTCAGAGAACTGCACAGAGCATGACTGTCCCATTTGCCTGCCGCTGAAGAACGAGGGCTACAGATGGCACTATAATGTAAGTGTCCCCCCCCCACCCCTGTCATCAACTGGGGTTTGTCAGCCCTGCAGATCTATATCTGGGCTTTGTAGATGCTTTTTATTTATCATCATTTGCCACGGGATCAAAAATACTCAGTGTACTTCACTGTGGCATATCCTATCAGGATGTGCTGTCAGTCAGAGTCAAGGAAGATAATTATTTACCACAAGAAGAAACATGGTTGGTGCCCCATCCTGGGTTGTTCCCTGCCTTGTGCCTAAAAACCTCCGGTATAGACTCCGGACCCCCTGTGACCCTGAATCAGAGTCCTGCACCGGGTCGGGTACCCGCGGGTACCCAACGGGTATCCGCAGATATTTGCTGAAACAGGCGAATTTTAATGTTCTGGAATTTTACGGGCGGGTAATTCATTACACACAGGCGGGTAGCAGGTCAATCAAAACAGTATTGTAGCCTGCAAAAATAACATAAGCGAAAATATCTATGTATTAGACTATCATGTACAAATTCTCAACATCATGTGTTCAGTATGTCGGGGGTACCTTATGGTGCGTTCGATTATTTTTCTCCAAGTCGGAACTCGGATGAAAACGTCACGAAAAACGTCACTTCCTGTCAGAAACACACCTCTTTTATGACATTGATGTCGGACAAGATTTTGTTGTCCGAGTTGCCCCTGTGACGTAATTTCAACATGGCAGCTTACACACTCAACAGTAATTCTATTTTATAAATACCATATCATGACCGTAAACAGTATCCTATCATGCAATATCAGATTTTTACCAGACTTGTTAGTGTCTTTGGTTTGTTTGTAGTTTGTTTGCATCTCGAAAAAAGAATATCGTTATGAATGTGCTAAAATATTTTATAAAGCTTTTAATGGGGTTTGACTAGTTCGCGTTTCTTGTTTGTTTGTCTCTCGGAAAAAATAATCTTACTCCAAATCTGCTAAAATATAAAGCAGCAACACACAGCAGCATGTTCATGGAGGCAGCCATGTTTGTTCCGAGATGTGGGTAGCTCGAACGGGAGATTGTCGGACGTGATGTCACTCAACTAGGAATTTCCGAGTTCCGAGAGAAAAACGAACGCACCATTAGATAACCGCCTCGACAAACATTCACATACACGTCTGAATCCTTGCTGGAGTGTGTCGCTGTGTTCTCTCTTTCATGCTCGTCACAGAATGGATAACTTAGATCTATCTGATTTGATTTTGTGTTAAACGGACTTTTTCGTTTCAATTCAAAATTCATGTAGGCCTAGCGCTTGTCACGTTGAGAGGTGCATAGAAAAAATAATTGTGTGTAATTTATTACGGGTACGGGCGGGTAACGGGCAGAATGTTAACGGGCCCGGGCAGGTGCGGATTTAACTTTGAAATAATCACGGGTGCACGGGCGGGTGTGGTGCTGTACTGTGCGGGTGCGGGCGGGTGCAGGTCTCCAAAAGTAGACCCGTGCAGGACTCTGCCCTGAATAGGATCAACGGTTTCAGAAAATGGGTGGATGGATAAAACATACCAAGAGTACTTGTACTCATCCTAGTGACAATGTGCCAATACCTATAACCGATACCTTGTGAACATGTGTTGTTGACAACCACAATGAACGGGAACACAAAATGCATGCGGAGTGGAAGTACTTCAAAATTACCCCCAAAAACCCAAAAAATAACAAACTGCAAATTGTGCTCTGCTAAAAAATCAAAACTAAATAGGAAAACAAGGTCATATTAAGGCTGGGTGATGACTAAAAACAATATTTCAATTTAAAGATGATAATATTGCGTAATACATCACCCACGCCCCCCCTACCAACATACACACACACACACACACACACACATGTAGGGTAAACATATCCTTATGGGGACCGCTCATTCATTTCGATGGGAAAAATGCTAATGCTAACTATGACAACCTTAACCCCTACCCTGCCCTAACCATAACCATAAGTAACCTAACAAAATACAAGAGTTTTCGCATTTTTAGTTAAGAACATAAGAACATATAGTTTTTTCATAGCAGTCACTGATTTTTATAAAATAGAGTTTTCCCTTATGGGGACCAGGAAACTGGTCCCCATAAGGGAAAAAAAGCGGATATTTATTACGTTATGGGGACATTATGTCCCCATAAGGGTAGGTAAACCCGCTTACACTTACACACACAAATACACACACACATACACATACACACACGTGGCATCAAGTGGGTCACTTACTTCTATCTATTTATCTATCTATTTATTTATTTTTGGCAGAAAGCAAAACCAGAAAGCATGAAAAACATGATGTATGGATACCCCACTAAACAACCAGCAGTGAAACTTTCCCAGCTGGGGAGTGGTGCTGATCATCATTCTTTTATATTTAGGGGATATGACTGATTGGCGGGTCTGAGTTAATTATGATTTAGAAACATGTCATAGGCCATCTAAAATCTCTAAAGCAGAGGTTCACATTTCTTACACCATGTACCACCTCAGAAAGTATTACCGTCTCTGCCATTTACATACATTGATACCTTCTCCTACCATATGAGGAGTTAAAAGCCATGTATTTCATGGAGTTGACAATTATCATAATAAATACTTTATTCCAGGGATCAGTCTCGCTACATTTTGTAACTTTCTAAATTGCACAAATTAAATAGCAGTATCAATGAGTACCAAAAAGCAAGCACTGGTACTCATACGCAGTTAGAAAAAATGGTATTTATACATCCCTAGTTACTGTAGTGTAAGAGACGCCCAGAACAGCACCCTTTGTATGGTAAAAGCACTTTAAGACTGCTGTCGGATGTAAAAGCTTAAAGTCAAATGATGCTGGTAATCGCAGAGAATGGGGCTCTGGTCTCCTGGGGGGTTGAATCCTTAGCTTTGTTATTGGCCAGTGGTCTCGGGACTCTCACATCCTCCTGCAGCAGACAATTTTTTATTTGGGAGACATTTTTTTATTTGACAGTTTAGCAGGTTCTCGTTTTGCCTGTGCAGTGCCACTGGGTAGGTTTCATAGACAGAACTCTTTCTCAGTGGACTCCTGTTCTTTGGCATGTGTAGGGGCTCTGATTTAAAGATCGGAGTTGGATCAGTTGCCTCGTGCACAGACAGGATATGTAGCATATGCGTGTGCATGCATGTCCACGTTTACCCAGATTGCTCATTGTATTGCCCTAGATGGGGTATGCATATAGTTTTGGGAACAGTCCACCGCCCCTGCAGACATTTATTTAATTATTATGATAACTCAAAAAGTCTTTAATGGACCTTTTTTTTTTTTTTTCAAACTTTGCAGACACAATGTATCCAGACACATCTGGAACTGATCAAATTTTGAGACAACTTGCACCAAAATTGAAGCAACACTGCAGAAGATATCTGACATTATGAACTTGATAACTCTAATATAACTCAATTTTCCACCATTGCACAGAGCAACGCAAAGTGGTTTTACTAGTTTCATACCAGATCATTGCTCATTTTCATGCGATGCACACATGTTGCTAAAATAGCAAATGATTTTGTACCCATTTTCCTTTCATAGGAGCAGTGTATTTTAAATGAGGCGTGGCTGGGTGCATTGTCAGCGCATTGCTATTTTAAGGCAGCGAAATGACATTATGCTTTTGACCAATGAAAACCACGTCTAAAGTCAGTGGCACATTGTTAAATGGTATTTAAGCAGCGCATTTTAGGAATGTGTGGGTGCACAACGCTTGTTACCAGAGTTGGGACCAACCAATTCAGCATAAAGAATCACAATCACAGAGTGCTCAACTGGTTGGTTGAAACAAAATCCCAGTCTTGACTTTTACTCTCTGGGCCTGAATTACCCAACTCTGCTCGTTGGACACAGGTTAAGCCCACGCGGGCCTCCCCAGGTCTGAGCTGTCACCACACACAGCCTGTGCAGCAAGCACATCCTCTCTGTGGGGTGTTATATCTGTCAAAACCTGTCTAGAAGGAAGCTAATGTCTTACATTGTACATGCAGGAATATTGCGAATATCTTGCAAGTTTAAGTGTTTGATAAGCACTTATGTAGATAGACGGCTGATTGGTCATAAGTTTATTTGGTTTCATCAAAACTAGCCATAAACTAAAAGGTAAATCCCACTTTATGGTCACTATATTACATTAGTTCCTTTCAATATGAAATTTATCGACATCTGCTCTCACTGTCTTTGGGGTCACATGGCAACCAGGAGATGGACGACTGGTCTGATTCATCTGATTCCTGTGTGTCAAACGCAGAGGAGGTAAGCAAAAGACTTCCTATAATCTAGGGTTCCTACAATCCACCCTGTGCCTTTCATCTTTAAATACTGACAGCTGTCAGTTTTAAATAGTGTTTCAGAAGGAAGTTAGCATCTTACAAGCTATCTCCATGCATAAACATTGTGAATGTTTTAATGGTTTGGTTGTTGCAATTGGTTTAACACCTGCAAATATAAAACTGATCACTTAACACTCACTTCTTTAGGGATCACGTGACAATGAGGAGACTGTTGCATTGTCCCCCACTGATCCCAATGGACCGAACACAGAGGAGGTAAACAGAGGAACAAGAGCTCTGTAATTCTCAGGGTTCCTGTCATTTACTCCACTTTGGATCCAAGGACACTGTTACCTGTCTGCTTTTGCAGTGTATTTCAAAGCAATAACGATGTTGGATTCTTAAAACAAGTCAGTATGCATGCTAGTTTGAGTATTTCATTGATACTATAAACATTTGGGTGGTTAACAGTTTTGGAATATTTAATCACATTAATACTAGCCCTGTAACCCAGTAGGTACAGTAAATACCATTTCATGGTGACTCCAGTCCTTACATCCTTCAGTCCAGCATTGAAATCTAATCAGAGTTTGCAGTTTTTTGATTGTCTACAGACTCAAGCTTCCACGTCTGTTGGATAACCAAGCTGGACAGATAATTAGCCACCAGATTATCAGTGATCTGTTACAGTTCACCTTATTTGACTTGAAAGACTTTGTCACATTATTATGTGATTTCTGTAAGGTGATTTGCATATTAGTGTCTGCTAACCAAGCATAAATTTAACATAAACATAAGCTTATCTACAGGCATATTAAAGGCCAATTTGGAATTCAAACTCATGCACTGGTATAAGAACATAAGATCAGAACATGTAACATGAACAGTAATATAGTGGAAGGAGGCTCCATAAAGAGAAAAAGCATTAGAAGATAATTACCAGACCATGAACAAACTGCCTTTGCAAACAAAGGTGGAAGCGACCTGCACTGCATTGGTGTGAAGTGGGTAGGGAAGGTGTAACATCACTGCCTGAACCGCCCGCAGTGGCCGCCCATGGGGAAGGTGTAACATTACTGCCTGAACCGCCCGCAGTGGCCGCCCACGGGGAAGGTGTAACATTACTGCCTGAACTACCCACAGTAGCTGCCTGCTTGGTTCAAAGGCACCGGTCCTGAAGCTTGGTTATTCAAGCTAAGAGCAGCTGTAACTAAACTGCTGGTAGCGAGCTTTGATTTGGGAACCAAAAATTGTTGCATGTTGTTTATGGTTGTGTGACTAATTTAAGTGAATTATAGCACGTAATCTATCTAACCAAGTAACTTTATTTATACTGAGCGCTAACAGGGTTGCCAACTCACATATCTACACTGTAAGAAATTGATTGTAAAATTTGCAGTAAAATATTGGCAAAAAAGTTGTCAATAAATACTGTAAATTTACAGTAATATGAACAATATTGCAGTACATTACTGTGACAGAATAAAAGTAATTTACGGTTTTACTGTTTTTCTGTTTACTATATTTTACTGTAATTCTCATTTACAGTAATGCCCTGTAAAGTCATGTTTTACAGTTAAGTACTGAAATCTGTATTTACATTAACTTACTGTAATTTCATTAATTGCAGTAATTACCTGCCAACCGCAGGTGCCTACAAAGAACTGTAGAAAATATCCAGAGTATTTTTCTGTAAAAATACCGCAATTTAAAATTGCATGATCTCATTTGTATAACCTACAGAACAAAGAACACATTATACTTTTTTAGTATTTTAATGATGTGCAAAACATCACAATAATAACAATTAACACCAAGCCAGTAAACACTGGAAAATAAGAAGCATTATACTATATTGCAAACAACCTTAATGACAGCAATGAGGTAGATGCTCTTTCCTCTACGCCTGACTCAGTATTCTGCCAAATGTTCTGACAGTTATTCACCATTGAAAAATTGTATCTGAACATGGCCAATGTCAAAAGCAAGCAAAAACTACTGGTACATATAAACATACTGCATTCAGTACAGAGTTGTATTACTGCATAGCAAGAATGAGGTGGTGTAATTGTGTGTATATGTATGTGTGTGTGTGTGTGTGTGTGTGTGTGTGTGTGTGTGTGTGTGTGTGAATTAAAGTTTAGCTAGTTCTTCTGAGTAATTCAGCATTGAGACATTTTATTTGAACACGGCTAATCTAAAATCTAAACAAACACTGGCATATAACAATGAACAAAACAAGTACTTGAAGTTGCATTCTTACACGAAAGAGTAATCTAAATATGTGTATGTGTAATGATGGTATGCGAATGACAGTTTGCATGTGACTTTGTATGTTTATATAATATGTGTGTCCATATGTTTTTTATAGTGTGGGAGTGTGTTTGTGACAGTGTGAATGTGAGTGTGTGTATGAGAGTGTGTGTGTGCGTGTGTATTAGGATTATATTACATCTTGGGGACCAAATGTCCCCCACAATGTGACAAAAGCCTGTTATTTTGATCCTTTGGGGGGCATTTTTCAGGTCCCCACAAAGATCTGTGAATGCAATAAAAAAAAAAAATAATAATAAAAGTCTCATATTTGGTTTGATTACTTATGGTTAAGGTTAGGGCTGGGTAGTGTGTGTAATATTTTTCACAATTTTTTTTTTACTGTTTGAAATTTTTGCGTGTCTAATATTTGTATATGAGTTTATGAATGTGTATTACATTTGTTGGTGTTAGTGTGAAAATTTGTGTTTTTATGCATGTAATTGTTGTGCGCTTGACTGTGTGAATTGCCCGTGTGTCTAATGTGAAAGAAAGTGTGTGTATACCGATATTTACCGTCTTGGGGGTGTCTCAGCTGTCCAATACCAGTGACGAGGGGAATTCCTCTGCGTTGACCCATGACAGGCCGAATGTACTCCTTAGCAACAGAGTCATTATTCTCTAATATTAGGGAAACTATAATAGGGTTATCACTTCCAGAACCCTCACAGAAGCCATTCATAACTGTTTTGGGTTATGCTGATAATGTCAGTATCTTAGAAATTTATCAAAGGGTCTCCTCTGCAAAGGTGCACGACTTCATAGGAGCCTTTCCAACGCAGCACCAGTTTTGTGTGACTCTCAGTGGGTTATTCAGCCGCACCAAGGCCCCCGTGCTGTTGGCATGGTGATGAGCACTCTCATCATAGTACAGCTTCTGTCTCTTAGTTGCATACAGATTAACACTTTTAGTCAAGTAGTCCTCCACCACAAGAACATACCTGTTCCCTTTGTCATCTTGGGCATTTCCAAAATGTCTGCAGCCACTCACTATAGGGGTGAGCTAACAAGAGACCCCCTCCCCCATAGGGATCCTCTGTCTGGGCACAGGAGACCTGCATGTCTGACAGGCCCTACATCACTCACACCAGCGCTTAGTGTCACGCAACACAGAGGGCCAACAGCATGTCTGTCTAGTGGCTCCACAGACCAGTCCAGCTGAGAAGTGGGCAGAAGCAGGCCCACCATGGAGCTGCTGAAGGAGACGTCCGACATGACAGCCCATCTACTGCTGACAGCTTCCTAAGGCCGAGAGGAGACCCCCTCAGGAGTCTGCGTGGTGGGCACTGTGAGCTCCTTAATCCAGGACAGCACTTTGGTAATGTCTGGGTCCTCAAGCTGCAAAGATCTTATTTCAGAGCCATCCGGTGAGACTGAGTAAGGAAGGCTGAGGCTCAGGCTGAAATGTTCTGTGCCTGAGTTAGGGCCTGGCTGGCATAGGCCACTACACACTCCAGTCCATCAATGTCTTGGGCCAACATTGTCCACACAGACTCCTTAGTGGCAGCTGTATGTATTTTAAAAGGAATAGGAAAGTTAGGCAACATCACAATAGCGGCATGTGAGCGCCCCTTTCAGGTAGGTACAGCCTCACAGTCCACAGCCAATGAAACTGCACATTGTTTCCTGTTACGTGATGTAAGGCTAATTACTAAAACATCTGTAGCACGAGCAGTCAAAGTGGGTGACATTAAACCTGTTTGTCACAGGTGGGAGCCACCAATGAGCATCATTCGGGCAGCAAAATGTGCAGCGACCAAACAAGGGTGGGCGCTAACTGGCACTTATACACTGAAATGCGTTTAACCACACAAGTGCTTAATGTACAAAAAACCAGCGTTCAAAGACAAAGATGTGTAATGTTGGTAAATACAAATAAAGATGTAGATGCAGCCCCTTACCATGGTACGTTTTTACCTAATGCCCCCCCGACCTCCACCTCACTCCAAATCTCACTCCAACAAATTCCTCAAAGCTGGCAGCCCTGACCATGTGTTTAATATTTTACCAGAAACTGCTACTTTCTCCTGATTTACTACAGATATTTAATATACATTAAATATTCACTATAATGCCAAAAGTATTGGGACACCTGCCTTTACAAACACATGAAATTTAATGACATCCCATTCTTAATACATAGGCTTTAATATGGAGTTGGCCCATCCTTTGCAGCTATAACATCTTCAACTCTTCTGGCAAAGCTGTCCACAAGGTTTAGGAGTGTGTTTATGGGAATTTTTGACCATTCATCCAGGAGAGCATTTGTGAGGTCAGGCACTGATGTTGGATGAGAAGGCCTGGCTCGCAGTCTCCGCTCTAATTCATCCCAAAGGTGTTCTATCTGGTTGAGGTCAGGGCTCTGTACAGGCCAGTCAAGTTCCTCCACAACAGACTCGCTCATCCATGTCTTTGTGGACCTTGCTTTGTGCACTGGTGCGCAGTCATGTTGGAACAGGAAGGGGCCATCCCCAAACTGTTCCCATAAAATCTGGAGCATGAAATTGTCCAAAATGGCTTTGAATGCTGCAGCATTTAGAGTTCCTTTCACTGGAGCTAAGGGGCCAAGCGCAACCCCTGAAAAATAACCCCACACCATAATCCCCCCTCCGATAAACTTTACACTTGGTACAACGCAGTCAGGCATGTACTGTTCTCCTGGCAACCGCCAAACCCAGACTTGTCCATCGGATTGCCAGACAGAGAAGCAGGATTCATCACTGTAGAGAACACGTCTCCACTGCTCTAGAGTCCAGTGGCGGCGTGCTTTACACCACTGCATTCAACGCTTTGCATTGTGCTTGGTGATGCAAGTCTTGGATGCAGCTGCTCGGCCATGGGAGCCCATTCCATGAAGTTGTCTACGCACTGTTCTTAAGCTATTCTTTAGGCCACATCTGAAGTTTGGGGGTCTGTAGCTATTAGACTCTGCAGACAGTTGCCGACTTCTTTACACTGTGCGCCTCAGCATGCGTTGTCCCCGCTCTGTGATTTTACATGGCTTACCACTTCATGGCTGAGTTGCTGTTGTTCCCAATTGCTTCCATTTTGTTATAATATCACTAACAGTTGACCGTGGAATATTTAGTAGCGAGAAAATTTCACAAACAGACTTATTGCACAGGTGGCATCCTATCACGGTATCATGCTTGAATTCAATGAGCTCCTAAGAGTGACCCATTCTTTCACAAATGTTTGTAGAAGCAGTCTGCATGCCTGGGTGCTTGATTTTATACACCTGTGGCTATGGATGTGATTGGAACAACTGATTTCAATTATTTGGAGGGGTGTCCCAATAGTTCTGGCAATATAGTGTATTTAAACTTACCTGTGCATACAGTTATGATGATGATGGTGCTTCCTATTGTCTGAAACAGAGGTCGAATTCTCCATGAGGTACTCATAAAAGAACCTATATGAATATCAGTTGCATCACAGGCCACCTCAGGGACCCCTCATTACTGGGAAACATTTATACTGTGTTATGCCCCCCCAGCCCCCACCTGACATTGTAGTAACAATGTGAGGGCAGGTTTCATTATGCCAATTATCCACAGCTGAGGAAGTGCGGATAGTTTAAAAGGAGCTGTGTGGCTCCTCTGTTCTCTCTCACTTTGTGTCTGTAACTCTGTGCACATTGAGTATTTGCTCACCCTGCGCTTCTCTCTCACTTTGTGTCTGTAACTGTGCACATTGAGGATTTGCTCACCCTGCGCTTCTCTCTCACTTTGTGTCTGTAACTCAGATTGATGAAATTACAAATAACAGCCTCTTCTGTGGATCCTGAGAAACAAGTCACACGAAAACAATGAGGGAGTATTTGGCAGTATTTAGATGCACTTCTGCAGATTGGATCTCAGATTTCCTGTCACAATTTCCTAATGCTTTGTTGAACTCCCCAGTGGATCTAGTATTAATTCTAACATGACTCATTGCTTTCAATTGAAATGCTAAAATTAGTCACCAGGTGGCGTTTCCTCTGCAGTTATAAATGTTTATCACGGTTTGCTGATTGCTCCCTTTATATTTTCAAGTAATTAAGAAAAGCAAATACTCATTCTAAATAAGCATAAAATAAACTGCACAAACCTACTCAAAATATTTATATTGCAAGTATAAATAATCCATTTTGGGATCTTTTCGCTGTTCTTGATTAACTCTCTAGTTTAGCTGATAACCGGGTACTTATTATAGAAACACCTGGGTTCTCACGATACTTCTGTGCATCTTGCCTGTGCCTTTATCATAGTGTCCTTGGATGACTCTGGTCTGCCGCCATGAGTATACAAAATATTGTGGAGGCCATTTTGCTATGATTGTGCTTCTGGAAAAAATGATTGATAACAATGGGGGTGGGGAAGTGATTGGGCAAAGGAGATGGGGGGGGGGTGTCTCGGGGGA